CAAAAAATGAGACATCCAAAAAATAGTCAATTTTATCATTACATTATTTCCAAAGCAGTATTAAAGATATTTGAATGTAAAGTCAGCAATGCATTTGTGGAATCAAATTATTTTAGTTTTAGAAATGACCTTACACACCACCTTTGGTTATAAAGAAACTCCAGAACCCATAACCATTAAAAATGCCCTTACTAACCTCTCCTGCTATGGGCAGATGATCCAGCACATGCATGGGGGAATCCTATTTGTTTCCGATAATTTCTTCCCCATCACATATGAAGCCCGCCCTGTGTCTCCAAACTTGGATATATTATGTTCTCCTTGCAACTTAAGAAGATCAAAGTACAAGGATAGATCTTGGGTGTGAATGGGTACAGAAACAGCAGAATCAATATTCTTTAAAACAAATATTTCAATTGAATTGAATTGCATCACTTCCCTCTCTCTTTTTCTACCCTCAACCCTATCCATGTCCCTATTCTCAAGTTGAGAGCCTCATTTTCTTTATTACTTTTACATATGTATATGCATCTATATGATGTATATGTATATTGGTCTGCAGCATACAACATATAAAGAAACTATCAGTGGGGGAAAAGCTACTTTTCCTTCTCCCAGCAGCCACATTACTATTAAAGGAGGTGTCAAAAGACATTCTTATTGGCATGCAAAGTGAGGCACTCATGTAAGAAGAGATTTCACAGTTTTCAGAAAGTCCTAAAATTCTGTAACTAGTCGAGCAAAAGAGATACAGAGGAGTCATTCAAAATACTAATGTTACCTCTGGACTGAAACCATCTCCTAGCCCATACTGGATCCCTAAGTAACACCCTTCTTTTTCCTTAAAGTTCTGCCTTTCCCAGGATGTCAAAGGAATGTAGTTGTATAATCTGAATCCTTTGGGTCTCAGTTCTTTCATTTCATGTTTTGCATTCATTAATCTGTGATACATTATACATCGTTTGTTTTTTTATTGCTTAGTTATGTTCTATTACATTTAAGCAACATAGCTTTTCCCTTTTTAATTTTTAAAATTACTCTATTAGGATAGCATTCAAATGATTGAATTTCATTTTGACAATTTCATATATATATATATATATGTACATGTGTATGTAAACACATATGTATGTCATACTTTGTGTGTTAGTTTGTTGCCATGATAGACTATCATGATGAAGATAGCTCATAGGAGAATATGTTATTTGGACATAGGATTCCGGAAGGATGAGTCCACTAGTATTTACACGAATATTCCAGTTGAATTGACAGTTGCTGAAAAGATTATATATTCTCCAATTGATTACATCGGTTCCTATCTTGAAAATCAAGTAAACATACAGGTGTTTTTGGTTATTTTTAGGCTCTTAGGTTTTATTGATCTGTTTCTGTAACTATCATCACATATCTGAGTCTACTTTCATTCTTAATCTTAAAACCCCTCCTGTATCCTTCAATATTGTTCTTTCCTTTCCAAATCATTTTGACTGTTCTTTTTGTTTATTGTTTGTTTTGTGTTTTGTTTTTCAAGACAAGGTTTCTCTGTGTAACAGCTCTGTTTTCGGATATCCAGAAACTCATTCTGTACCCCACCGGCCTCAAATTCAGAGCAATCTGCTGCTTCTGCCTCCAGAGTTCTGGGTTAAAGTCTTGCACCCTAATGCCCAAATATTTTGGCTATTCTCATTCCTTTGTTTTGCATATGAATTTTAACATCTTGTTAATATTAACAAAAAAAACCCGTATGGGAACAGCATAGTCAATCATGGTATTGAGTCAAATCCACAGATTAAGTTCAGGGAAAATGATAGCTTAATAATATTCACCCTTGGAATCATGAATAAAGCATGTATTTCCAGTTATTTAGGGCTATGTGCTTCCATCTCTGTGTGTGGGCATGTGTGTACCTGCATGCATGTTAATTCAATAAAAAACAATGAAGACAAAATTAAAATAATATTATCATCCTTGTAGTGGTTACTTCAAATTTCCTTCTCTTTCTTGTCCATGATCATCACATAACTGATGTTTAATTCCAATGATCACCAGATTAAAAACTTTCACATTCTTTCTAGATTTATATTTTGCTTGGAGTTGGTAGGACAAGCAAGATACAGTGGGTTTATTTCAGTTTTTAAAAGATTGAAAAAGAATTAATTTTACTTTTGATGTTCTAAATCTCTCTTTTGTAGTGATGATCAGGATTGTGGCCAGGCTGGAAATTATACCAACTTTGAGACAGCTCCCTATAGTTAAATCCTAAATGGTACAAGATCAATATGAAAGTTGAGTGGATTTATCTGAAGCAAACAAATGGATAGTGGGAGGAAAACCTATAGGAATATTCTTTCCTCATGTGTATGAATTCTTTGTTTCTTGACAGTGTTATGGTGTGTGGGGGGGGCACCGACGCGTGGGCACGTGTGTGTGTGTGTGTGTGTGTGTGTGTGTGTGTGTGTGTGTAATTTTGAGATAAAAGAAGAGGGAACTGATACTCTAGCTTGCACCAAGTTCAGGTCCTGTATGGGACTATGTCTTAGCAGGAAATGCCTCGCTGACAAATAACAGGAATTAGCCTGTAACATGAATCACAGCATTACCATTTATTTGGACCAAAATAGAATTTAATTTCATGTCTCCAAATATGTATCAGCTGACTATGTATGAATATGTAAAACTTTCAGGACTATTCAGAGTAATGCTCAGGGTGGTCTGTAGAATTGAGTTTTATCCAAAATGCCTTTAGAATATTAGCATATCTGTATTATTAAAACAGAAATCTGGATGCTAAATTTAGGGGCTGTTTGATGAAGTAACTTCTTGATGAGGACAAAGTGAGCAGATGTGCAAATCTAGAGACACATTTAAACTTTTTGTATGTATGTTTATCCTTTTTTTATAAGTGTTTATAGCATATAATATGTGAGGCACTAAATTAGGATTTATAAATCCCAACTATATTTCTAAAAACTTGGGACATTGGGAAGATTGAATAGCATTCCTTATATACAGAAGTATACAGCTCTGGGCAGAAATCCCAGAGGCACAGTTTGCAGCATTTCGCTCATTCATTATTTGTGCCCTGGTGCTGATTTCGCCTCTCAGGCTGCTGGCATGATGAAGACATGATTCTCAGTTCTTAAAGCCCTCAAGTAGGTCATTGTGAATTAATTTCAAAATAGATTTGTAATTATCTTTTTTCAAATGAGTATTTGGTCCTCCGGTTAGTCATTCAGATGAAGGGGAGAGAGCAATTCCTTTGAGCCCATAAGCTTCTAATGGATCAAGCATGTCACAATATATATGTAAATGCTTTATTCATAATATATTGGGATTGTGGTTTACAAATTGCATTTGCATTATTTATTTAATTTCCATAATAGTTCTGAATAGATTGAGCATATATTAAAAGTTCCATTTATACTTAATCACCTCAGGTAAAAAGAAGTAAATGTGTACCTAATAACCAACTCTTGTTTCTCCTCCACTTCCATCTTCCATTCTTTCCATCCCCTCCATCCCCTCCATATTCTTCATCCTTTCCACCTTTTCCATTCTCTCCATCTTCTCTATCATCTTCACCCTCTCCACCACCTCCATTCTCTCCATCCCCTCCACCCTCTCCATCCTGTCCATCTCCCCATCGCTTCATCCCTTCCATCTCCATCCTCTCCAACCTCTCACCCTCTTTGACTGGTCTCCTTCTTCCCTATGGTTTCATGTCTAGTTTCATAACCTTGATGCACATGTCTCTCTCTCTCTCTCTCTCTCTCTCTCTCTCTCTCTCTCTCTCTTTCTCTCTGTATGTCTAAGTCCATATAAGAAAGAAAACAAGAAAAATTTGTTTCTCAAAGTCTTGCTTCCATCTATTAACTGCTTACAGTTCCATAATTTTCCCTATTGATGTAACTTTTTTCTTCAGGACTACAAGATCTCACTGTTTATATGCATTACATGTTTTCATTCATTCATTGATGGTCGTCTATTCTAGTTCAATTTCTTTGCTACAGCTAATAATGCCAAGTTAATATCGATGTGCAGATATCTCTGTGGTAGGACTGTGAGTCTTTCTGGTATGATCACAAGTTGTAACCTGAGTCATATTGTAATTTTATTTTTATATTTTTGTAAAAATATCTATTCTGATTTCTACAGTGTTTGCACTAGTTCACCTTTTTTTAAATAAAAGTAATAGGGTTCTTCTTTCCCATTTACTCACCATTTGTTGTCAATTTCTAGCTGGGTTTTATAAATATCCATTTTCTTCTGAATGGTAAATCTTAGGTCGTGTTCTATTCCTACTCTTCCTATGCACCTCTGCTCTCTTGTGTGAATGTCTTTACTCTGTTCACTAAAAATGGCAATTGTGCTCCAACCACAGGACTTTGGTACACTGTCCTGTGCTTAGAATGCTTTTCTAATAACCAGTTCTTTGGTCTTATCTGGCTTCTGCACCATCTCAGCTCCTTAGAGCAGTTTTTATTCACACCATCCCAGATAAATGCTTCTAAATTTGCTTTATTAGCTTGATGAACTACAGCATTCTGTGGTGCTCTGTTCATTTATCTACGCTTTGTTTACAAATTCCCTGAGATCAGGCTTTGATCTATCCCTCATCACGTCCAGTCACATACCAGGAATGAATTAAACATCTGTCGAATAAATCAATGCATGAAATCTTAGATTTTAGATGCTGGTTAATTGTTTCAGGACAGAGGAAAGCAAGTGTCTATATATTATTTTAAATTTGTGTTTATCTCTTACCTAAAACAACCTTAGGCACTCATTTTGTAAAGAAAAAAAAAGAAGAGTTACATAATTATTTGTTGATATCTATCTTCCTGTAACATACAACATTTTGTGTAGACAGACATACTTTCCTTACCTTATATTCATATTGCCTACGTCTAGATTAGATGCATATCACACAGTAGGTGCTTTCAAAAAGTTCCCTAGTCTGTACTGATACAAAGTAACTATATTTCTTCTCACATTCACAGGACTATACCTTGACCATGTATTTTCAGCAAGCCTGGAGAGACAAGAGGCTGTCCTACAATGTAATACCTTTGAACTTGACTTTGGACAATCGAGTGGCAGACCAGCTCTGGGTGCCGGACACCTACTTCCTGAATGATAAGAAGTCCTTTGTCCATGGAGTTACTGTCAAAAATCGTATGATACGCTTGCATCCTGACGGCACGGTCCTGTATGGCCTCAGGTCTGTAGTATGCATCTTAAATTGAACTTTTCCTGGAGAAAGAAAACCCAGTTGCCTGCTGTCAGAGGAAATGTACTGTTTTCTTTATTCCTTCTGCAGTTCCACTGAAAAAGAATTAAACCTCCTATCAGGGAGATATCTGAGAGCTTAGGAAAGCATGTGTACAAAGGACTTAGCTCCAGCTAAGACTAAGTTGTTGTTACTTTTTTTTCTTCTTCTTCTTCTTCTGATTTATCCTCCAGTATCAGATGCTGATGCTAAAGCCGATTTCTTTAAGGAATAGGGATAGACAATATCAAAATAACTGAAGCATGGGGTTTCTTTAAAATTTGGTAAACAGAAAACTCTGAATGTTGAATGATTGTTTGGACATGGCAGAAGGTATTGAGCTGCTAACTTGGTCATGGTCCTCTGGTGACAGAGAGGAGTGTCATGCCCTCTCATCCTCTGAGGAGCAATCGACTTACAAATAGTACCATCTCATGCTTATTAATGCTTAATTGATGCTCTCAAATGCACCTCCAGAAAAACATTCCAATACCGGACTATTTGGATGGAAATAATTTGTAAAGAAGGCTAGTTTAACTTCAATTAAAACCAATAGATGATGTTCTGGAAAAAAATTAAAACACATTTTTATTCTGAAACGATTTTAATGTAAATATTTAATTTGCATGGCAGAAGGAAACCACTCTAAATTTCAGCGTTTTGAATTCCTCTCCTCTATTATTTTGCATAAAGTATTTTTATTCTGAAAATATTACAATGTAAACAATTTCTCACAAGAAAAGAAATTTGCCTCTGATCTTTTATTTTGCATAAACATGTGACTATCCTATGATAATAGTGATGATAGTGGTAACAGTAACAGCCATCAGTTGAACCCTTTCCAGAGGTTACACAATGAGTTAAGTGTTTTCCACACATCATACAGTCGTCACCCGACACCCTATTTGCATCTTACTTCTGATTTTCATTATCCACAATAGTTGTTATCTGAACACACTGAGTGGAAGTGGTCAGAAATGACTTATGCAGTTTAAGTTGGGCATTATTATGAGTAGCGTGATGAAATCTTGCTTGCCAAGCTATCTAGTCCTACTTGAGAAACAAGTCACTGTTTTCCCCATAAAATCCATGTGGTAGCTAACCTTTAGTGCCTTTGTAGCCATCTGTCAGGTCTCCTGTCATGGAATTGCGGTACCTGTGTTCAAGTAACCTTTTGTTTTTCGTAATAAGAGCCCTGAAGCACAGGAGTAGGGTGCTAGCATCTTACAGGAATGTATTGTGTGAGATATATTGGCCCTGTATGATTACTTCATCAAAGGGTACCAAGAAGAGTTGCACCAAGCCATGCACTGAAAGTAATAGGGACTTAAAAGGGCTTAGGTATAGGTCTGGCTGAGGCACTAAGACTGTTGTTGAATATACACCTGTACCCTTCAAGACTACTGCTCCCTTTCTAGAAAAAAATTAAGTATTGACTAAAGAGAATAAATGTAAACTAAAACCAATGTTCGGTTGCAGCGAAACCTAGTTCTTTGACGGGAAAGCACCCAAGAAAACACAAATTCCTAAAAAGTGAAGGGTGTATTATCAATACATATGAAGGAAAGATCAACTCTGGTACCAAAATACTTATGGATAAAGCTGAAAAATGTTATTGGAAACTTCTTATAAATTGATGAGAAAAAAATAGGAGAACAATTTATGGAGCACTGAAAGCTAGTAAAATGAATTTTGTTATGTATTTGTTATAAAGTTTAGACACATACTGGATGCTATCAAGTGATGAAAAATAAGAAATGAGAGTTTATGTGGATTGCATAGGAATAAAAAAGCAATAAATGGATCAGAAACTAATATATTTACCATGTAAGAATGGGGGCCTACATTCAAATTCCCAGAACTCAAACTTGGGTATAGTATTTTCTATCTGTAATCCTGTGCTTGCATGCTGAGATAAGATATAGGCAATGGAGACAGTCTGGAAATGCTCAGTCCTACTATTCTAGTGTATGAAGAATGAAAAACAAAGGCACCCTGTCCCAAATAAGGTGGAAGGTCACAATTAACACTCAAAGTTGTCCCCTGACTACTGCCTACTCATGCTGTGGGACAATCACCCACTCCTCACTGCTCCCAAGTGCTTCTAGCTTTTAATGTTTCTTTTGAGAAGCTGTTATTGTGCTGAAGCCATCTTTACGTATGACATAAGCCTTCTCTCCTAAAGTTTTCTGCAGCTTTTATTTGTTCTGTATAGTGTTCTAACAATAATATGGCATAGTATGTTTCTCTTCTAGTCCCGTCCATTTGATGTTTGCTATGCCTCTTATACCACAGTGGGTATTCCTTTGCAGACACTGGGATATTTTCTTCTGTGATATTATTGAAGATACTATCTATGCTTTCTGATATAGGACTCATCTCCTTTTATGTCTATAATTAATAAATTTGGTCTCTCATAATGCCCTACTTATCTTTTACATTCCATTCATATTTTTATAAAAAGCCATTGACTTCAACTGAATGATCTAATTCCTCTGTATGATCCTCAAGCTCTGTAAGGCTGTCCACTATAAGTTCCATTCATTGCTGAAGATTTCCACTGAGGGTTTTCTTAGATTTCTGAATTTTTCATTTCTGAAATCATTTCAGTTTGAGTTTTATTCGGCATTTCAAGGTATTTGGAGAATTCTGTTTTCAATACTGAACTGATTTTCTTAATGCATTCAACTGAATGTGTTTTCTTGGAGTTGACTCCAAATATTATATGTATCCTCCTTCAATGCATTCATTAGTGTGTTTGTGTCCACTTTGAAATTTTGAACATATTTATTAGGATTGTTCTTTTAAATTTTGCCTAGAATTTTGTATAAGTCACCATCACTGGCCTCCATTGCTATCTGACTGTTAATTTTTGGAGGAGATATTTTGTCTTGGCTCTTCTAGGCCCTGGTGTTTGTGCACTGGGATTTGCCAATCTGGTGTGAGCTGTGACTTCTCATCACAGCTGAGTTGAGTGAGTGTGTGGTGTTAGCATCACCTCTACTTCACAAGTCTTGACCAGGCTCAGTGTTGCTTAAAGTCCAGTTGTAGAGGAACTTGGCATTGACCATGGGTGGCGTAAGTGAAGGTGATCGTGGCTTTGTTGATAACAGGATCACGGGCTCTAACTTCATAAACCAGAATCAGTGCAGTGTATCAATAGGTTATACCAGAAGCAGCAATTTCACATGTCCTCTAACCTTAAGAGCCTGGCTTCATAAGGTATTATGGGAGAGTGAATCAATACTAGGGATTCTGCGACCTCTAAACTGACAAGCCAGGGTGTTTGAAGAGTGTTGTGTATGTGTGCCACAGCCATAGATTTATCATGTCCTCTGGCTTCTGTGGTACTCAGGGCAGAAGAACACACTTGGGGAAGGGAAGTGGTTCCCACTCCTATGGCTGTAATAGTCTGTCCCTTGCTTGGATTCACTGAGCTTGGTGAGTATGCCCCAGAGGCAGGAGACTGTAACTTTCTTACCTGTTTCTGCCTGATGCTATAAGTGAAAGGAAGGATACATGAGAGGTAATATGAGAAAAGTCTGCTTACCTATTAGGACCATGTACAGGAAGGTTGATGATGTGTACCTAAGAGGCAGAGGGTATGGAAAACTTTATGCATCTGTGACCAGTGCTATCAAGGAGGAATACACATGCCAAAGGCACTGATTTCTGGACTTCATTATGTGTCTGTGCTGGTTGAACATGGGTTAGCAGAAGTGTACACCTTAGAGGCAAATGTTTTAGGGGTCTCTTATATCTCTAAGCTGGATGCCACAGAGCATCCTTAACTCCTGACAGAAGAAGATCATTATTTTTCCGTTCCCACTTCCAACAAAGACTCTTGACACAATAATCAATTTCTTGAGCACCTGTGACATTCATAAAATTAGCACTTCTGGCCGGGCGGTGGTGGCGCACGCCTTTAATCCCAGCACTCGGGAGGCAGAGGCAGGTGGATCTCTGTGAGTTCGAGGCCAGCCTGGTCTACAAGAGCTAATGCCAGGACAGGCTCTAAAGCTACAGAGAAACCCTGTCTCGAAAAAACTAAAAAAATAAAGTAAAATAAAATTAGCACTTCTGTGGAAAGCAGGCCCACTAATTGTGATTGTTCTCTCAGTTGCAATGTTGAACAGCAGATGAAATTAATAGGAAGATCTTAAAACACACTTTTAAGTAGTATTGGCAAATTTTATAGAAAAATAGAACAGTTTCCTTTGAAAACTGTTGCATGCCTAATACGCATTTCTTGTCTCTAGGAGTCTTACTTACAATACAGAGAAGAAATTTAGTTAAAATAACCATTGACAGTATGAACTCCAAATACTTAGCCCCTATTCCTACTCATCTATCACCAATTCTGTTATTTCCTATTGTTGATAATCTAGGAAGAATTTTATTGAGTCAATGTCAAGAAGAGGAAATGTAGAACATTACATCTAATTAGAATATTATTGAAAGTATCTAGGACTAATGGAAAGATTTAGCATGCATATATTTTGCATATGTTTTCTTATTTAATATTGCTTTAGTTCCATTATTTCCTCCATATTATATGGAAAAACAAAGGAACCTATAGAAATTTAAATAACTACTGTACCCCAAGAATTTAATTGCCTTAAAGTAGAAATACTACTTTTTTTGTCCCAGCCTTTAAATACTGGTTATCTGGTGATGCATAATATTTATTAAAACCCTGAGAGAATCTGAAGGAATGGAAGAAAAAAAAAGCTAGATGAAAACAACTTTTCGTACATCTGTAGCTACGGACTTTTCTCTTGAATGATAAAATAGAGCCATGAGAAACAGAAGGCAAGAGTCTTCTATGGAAGTTCACCTTGAGATCCTATGGACTATAGCTGTTCTAGTTAAAAGGATGAGTTGTGTGCATGTGTGTAATCCTTGGACTCAGACAAATCATTGCAAAAAAAAGTCAGTGGTAGTAAAGTCCA